GGTGGCCATGGGCTATTTGAGGGATCTCCACTGGTGGGAGATGCCCAGGGGCCTGAGAGGGGACTGCAGATGAATTTCATCCTGTTAGTTCCATCCAGTGCTGGAGAAACCCAGCAGGGAAAGCAAAATGCTGATTTATTTACTTCACAGCTCAACCAAGAAGCAGAAACCTCTGTACTTCACCCTGCCCAGAGCCTTTGCCTGCTGCAAAGACACCCAAGTTTATCTGTGGCTGTTAGACTTTGCTTTGTGACACATCCTCAAATACTGCACAGCCCATCATATCAGGAAGAAATTAGATAGTGCCTGGAGTTACTTGGGTTCACCAGACTTTGAACAGTGCCTGAGTAAAACCAGATTGAAAGCAGTACAATCAGTTTTCCTTTTGCTGTAGTTATGTTTACAAAGATTTCAGTATGGCCATAATTTACCTGGCTTGGTAGCACTGACATTGACAGAGAAATAAATGAATTCTTACATTCATACTTCACACTTGCAGGATTGTGCTTCAAGAATGAAATTTCCCTGATTTTAACCAGAATATTTAATTAAAATGTTAATGAAGCTGATTTTTTTTTTCTTTTTGCTGCAATTGTTCTAACCAGTGCTATTGGGTTAAGGGATATGGGCTATGTGTGTCCTCCCCAAAACAAACACTGGAAAAAAACCCCTATCTTTGGTTGACAAAGTGTGAAAATAGTAAAATGTAATTTTAATATTGCCTCAAGAAAGAGAGAAATCGATTTCAGACCTCAGATGCTGTACTTTAAAACACATTTTGGCTTTCTGGGGATATCAGTCCTAGTAGAGCATATTTCACAGAATTGAAACTCGTCTTTTCACTTTGTGTTCCTGTGCTCTACTTTCTTTTCCCTGCCTTTTCTGTGCTTTGCTAAAAAGACAGATGCAGTTCAATACATTTTTTTTCTAAGAGGCATGTTATAAAAAGAAGTTCTGCAGTGAAACCTTTTAAATGGTGAAACTCCAAAAAGCTTTGTTTTTCTGTTTCTCAGCTTGCTCTCTGCCTTGACCTCTGGTTCCTGTATTTTAGGATACATACGTAGCAAATAGTGAAAAACTGATTTTAAGAAACTTTTCTGGGTTACTTTAATTCTCCCTCTTAGTTAAATCCTTCAAGAGACTAATGGCAGTTCTTCTGGTGCTCCTAGGAAACGTTGAAGTGAGTCCATTTTTAAAACAAATAATCAATTCCAATGGTAATTCTAGCAGGAAGCAGTGTAGTGCAATTTAATGAATTTCTGAGATCAGTCCTTAAGTCATCTTTCTCTGTCTTTAATTTGTTATATGGAAACTGCTGTTTTTAGATGTGTCCCGATTTTGGACAAAAAAACCAAATTTATGGTCTCTGAAAATGTGTACAATGTTAGTATTTCATTTATTTAGAAATGGATGGTAGAACTCCAGAGAAAAACATGTGATGTGGTAAAATGTATTTGCCCAAAATTAAATGTCTCAGTCATCTTATAAGGGATTGGGAGTATTTGGGGTTTTTTCCCACTTTTTAAATCCTGAAGAAAATCCAGTGTGCTGCTGTCAAGTCCTTAGGAGTTTGCAATCAGATGTTCCCAGGATCTGTCACAGCAATTAATTTGTGTGACTCTGTTCAAAGGAGCAACTTAAAAGATTTTTTTTTCCTTTTAATTGCTGAAGTTTGCTACTAACCTTCCCAATGATTTGTTCAGTAGCAGGCAACGCACAGTGAGCTGGAATTCAGAAGTTGCTCATAGCTGGATGTTTTTCCCTTTCAGAATACTTTGTAAAGTCAACAGAGGGGTGAAAACTCTGTAAAATTCAGAGCAAATGTACTGTGATCAAACAAATCTGCAAGTTTGTACTCTGAGTCTCTCACATTTCATGCTTGTTTTATTTGGTGAAATACTTTGAAAGAGCTGATATGGCATTAATGTGAAGTGTAAAGTTATACAAATAAAGTCGTGTATTCCTATAAAACCTCACCTCTGGAAATGCATTAGGGCATAGAAGTTTTGGTTCTTTTACAGTAGCTGGTTTGTCCTTCCTAGTTAGCTTTTCCCATGTTTGAAAGGGTCTTTGTTTCACTCTTTGGCTTGTCTTGCCATTGATACACAGGTCTGAGGTTTTCGTGTTCAGGGAAAATTTGGCTGCACTTACCGAGCTGCTTCTAGTAAAGCTCATAGAGCAGAGGGTTGTCTTGGAAAATGTAACAGATTGGGTTTTATTTTGGACCTTTGCTGTGTTCTCATTTATCTCTCACTCACAGAAACACTGAAATGGCAGCCATGTAATCTTTTTTAGATTGTAAAGCCTTTGTTATGGCTCCAGAGTTTCATGCCTGATGCTTTTACTGTGTGCTTTGATCCTGGTTTTCTGGTTTGTGTTTTTGTTTGGTTTGGGGTTTTTTTTTTTTCCCTGGTGCCTGTGGAAACATTCAAAGTCCTGATTATTTTCAGGGACTAATATAACTTTTTATGGAATCATACTGAAAAAGGGCTTTGTTAGATGAGTGAAGCATTCACGGGCTTTACTTCATTTATAGAGTTTTGTTTTTTGCTAAATCCTAACTCTTCTCTATGAGGGCACAGCTTTTATAATTTTACTTTCTGCCTCCAAGCTGGCTCTTTGTGAGCAAGGAAAAGATTCCTGGTGATGCTTCATCTGAAACATTCATCTGTTGGTTGTTCCTTGACTTGGTTTCTGTTGTTCATATTTGAGTTATTGTCTAAATTCAGGATATTCAGTTGTGATAAACTATAGCAGTTGCAAGAAGCTTTGTCTCCTTGTAGAGAGCCACATGTAGCATTTCAAATAATTATTCTTGATTCAGTGTTAGTGCTCAAGAGAGTGAGGATGAAGCATTTCCATTTGGCTGCTGCTCCATTTACCATGTGGAAATCTTCTCTCTTGTGGCTCTGCCCGGTTTATCTGGAAAAGCAGGAAAAGTTTTCAGGCTACAAGATTCATTTAGGTGGATTCTTAGTTTCAGTGATCAGCTGTAATTTCCTGCCAGGTGCAAACACTTGGTCCTGAAGGATTTGGCACAGACTAGTTTTAAAAGCTGTAGGTTGCTTAGAAGAAAACTCATCTGTCTAGGAAGATACTACCAAAGGAAATTCAGGACAAGGGATCAGCAGTGAGTCTGTAAAATATTTCTTTTGGTTTTTATTATTTGAGTTAATAGAATTTAACTCAATAAAGTGAAATTTTTGTGGTTAGGCTGTACTAAAAACAGGTAGGAAGCACAGACTGTTGTGCTGAGCTCCCTAAGAAAGACAAACTTGGTGACTTTTTGAGTTAGTGCATTACTCATTGACTACCTTGTGTATTCAAGGAAAAAAATCCCAGATACTCCCCCGATGATGTGACTGTTTCTGTCTTGCCTAAGCATGGTTACAGCCCCTATCCAAGAAGTTTAGAAGGCAGAGTGAAATCTTTGCCAAGTATGAAAGACAGGTATGACAGGCAAGTGCTCTTGGCAGGCAATTTCGTTTATTATGCAGCTATTTGAAAGGGCAAGCTGCCAGCTTTCCACGTTAAAGGGAAGATAATTGCCTAACAAGGTCACTGGGAACAAGAAATACTGTGGGATAGAAATTTTGTCCTGTCCCTTGGCAGAACAGATCATTTTATTTCGTTGCATTCTGAAGGACCCATGGGGTCTAAATCATGCCAGTTCCAGACACTGTATGTGTACCATGTCTCCCACTGCCAGCCAGAAAAATGAGTTTATGAAATGTTGGAAAGTGCCCAAATGAAAAAATGCAAACTAGAACTGAGGCAGTGTGTAGTAATGTAGTACCTTCCTTAAATGTGTAAAGAGAGGAGGAAGGTGGGGGAGTTTTTGATCTCTTTAATTTAGTAGGAATGGTGTCTTACTTTGTGGGGAGTTTTTCTGTTTATTTGCTTAAACTGTTCCAAAGATAGTGTCAGTAATTTTCTTGTTCACTGTGTTTGTGATTAGAGTAAGTCAAATTTTTTTCAGGGTAATTTCACAGTGTCATTGAGGTGGAATTAATTGCATTCTAAAAGATGGGAAAAGTAAGTTTCTCATCTATTTAAGATACTAATCTCATATTTTAGAGATAGACACAGCTATACCTGTGTCTTCAGACTAAATTCCAGGTGATTTATAGCCATGTCCTAATAAAGAGCTGATTTTTATTTTTTTTGGATGAAACTTGAAAACTCCTCTGTCCCTTTGAGGCAGAAAATCTGCAATGTCTATGGAGCTTCAGTATCATGATTATAATTAGAGATACTTGTGAGTAACCAAAACCACATCTACAAATCAGAGAGGTTAAGCAGCTTCAGTGGAGTTTGCTGGCAGTCATGACTGCAGTGCATGTCAGAGGCTCTTATTGCTGGTTTGAGTGAGTCATTTGGGTAACAAAGGTCATAATTTAATTTGTAGTTGTGTAAATAAGTACACAGAGCACAGGAACCACCTGTTAACTACTTCTGCATTATATATATTTTAACTGTCTATCATATTCAAAAATGTATTTCCAAAGGGAGAGGAGCAATCTGAAAGAGATATGTACTTATATAAGTTAAATTGCATGTATTCAGAGAGCTTTATCATTGTGATGCCACACTGAAATATTTTTATGATACTCAAATAATGCACGTGGAATAAACACAATTAACTGTTGGTCAACTTCCAGAAAAGTTGCTCGGTGTTTTCTCAGAGGCACCATCCTTTAGCTTCTTGGTAAAAGTGGAACTGTTGTTTGGAAATAATCCAGTGATCCATCTAATGATTTTCTGTAGCTCAGCATCTGATGGAAGATTTAAAAAAAAAAAAAAATAAATAAAGAGCTGCTTTTCTGCTATTGATGTTTTGTTCCTTCTGAACACAAAAGTGCCCAGCTTTTGAAGAGATGAAGAGAAAAATAAAAACAAAAAAGGCCTTGACCGAAGTCTTAAAATGGTATGGGGGCTCTCCCTGCCTCTGCAGCCCAGGACCAGCCCTCTCCTTCATCTGCCCCCATCAGCAGGGATGGCCCATCACTGCTGTCCCCAAGCTTAGAGGTGACACTTCAGCTCTGCTGAGCCTGCTGAGGAGCTGGCTCCCACTCAGGGCTGGTTTATCCATCATCTCTTTCTGGCAGACACCTCCTCCTAAGACACATAGTGATTTAGGAGCTCAGCTGCAGTTGTGGTGCCTGGAATGCATCCTGACAAGGACACTGCCACTCAGTGGAGTGTGGTCCAAACACTCACACATGAGCTATTTATTCCCTTAAATTGTGCAGTGCTTCATTCCCAAGTTGCAGCACAACTGTTTTATTCCCCAAAGTACTTAATTCCTATTTTCAAGACCTAGGAATTCCCAGTATCATATCAGAGCTCTCATGGTGTTGATGCTTCTTGTTCTTGACTGTGTTTTTTAGTAAACTCTGTGTTCCCATGTATTCTTCCATAGTTGGTTTGGGCAGGAATGTTTGTCTGTAAACTATGCCAAAAAGAGGGGTTAAAATTCTCCAAAAGTTATAGGAGCTAGTTGATGAATGATGAGAGGAAAAGAATTTTTCTAAAGATACTTAATTAGGGTTTGTCACTAAAATTGTTGCTAAATCATAAACAACTCAAATCTCTGATAATGCAGAACTCTGTATCTATAATCTGTTACTTTGCTTGAGAAGGGAAAATCGTTTATGTTGTGTGTTTTCCCAAAATCCAGGCCATCAAGGTCTGTCCTCTGGATTATTAAGACACAGGTAAAAGCTAGCAACAAAAGTAAAAATTTTCAAGTTCCTCTCCCTCTTTCCCTCCCACTTGTTGCCTATTTTTAATCCCATGCTAGATACAGTTGACAGGCAGTGATCTAAACTCTCTTAACAATTTGGCTTTCAAACATGTTTGAGTCACTTGTTCCAGACCTAGATCTCTCCTTTTTGCTCTGTGGGTTACTCTCTTGGCTCTTACTTACTCTCACACTCTGCCCACTGTGTGGTCCAGAACATTTATTTCACCTGCTAAATACCTATGAGGAAACAATTTTGGGCTCTTCAGGAGCTCTGGTTATCTCTATTTGTTCGTCTCAAGTTGTAGTTTGCACTGCTTGTACTCTTGGCTCTCAGTGTCATGTGTGAGTCTCTCTCCTGTTAGATACTTGAGCATTATTTATGGAGTGTTTGTAAACTTACAGGCAGAGTGTCTGGGAATGTTTGCTGTGTTCCCATGGAGCTGAACTGTATTTTGACAGCTGGTTAATGCCACAAAGCCTCCAGAGGTTACTGCTCCTTATCTGCCATTCCTCCACCACTTAGATGACTTGTGATAGCTGTCCTGCAGATACAGCTGTGATTGGCAATCTCAATTTCAAAATGTAGGCTCTTGCACATATCAGTTATTTGTAGGATTAGTTCAGAGCCAGTAGTTTTGCTTTCCTTTGTAAATACGAGTAATTTGCTCAAAATTGAGTTGAGAGTTGGTGTTAACAAATCCTATTTTTAATATTAAAGTTCCTGTTGTGAGTCTTCACAATTAAAGCACTTTGTAAAGTGTATATATATTGTTTTATTAGAGCAAACTAAGGTACAGAGAAGTTAAAAGGTTTCTTGGGGTCATAGTACATTCAAGATCAGATTCAAAGGAAAACAGTACAGTTCAACTTGGGACCTTGTCTACTTTTATGGTAACTAACACCCCTCCCTGTAGTACCAGAAGTCACCAATTGCTTCTCTGCAATCTAATCTCTCCCCATTGCTTATGTTTGGAGTTAAAAATGAGGTTTCAGTCATCGTTTGTAGTGAGTGCAGTGAATGTTGAAACCTGAAAGCATTCTGCTGTTCCCTGTTTGAGAGATGTCCCCTGAAACTGGGGCGAGCTGGGCCTTGGCACCAGGAGGAAAAACAAAGAACTTGGGCTGTAGAGTTCCTCGAGGTAAAGGATTTTTTTGGTTTTGAGATGTTGTGAAACTTTTGTCAAAATGATTCCTCACTTGTGTGTGAGGGAATGAATAAAAGAATGAACATGTTGTAAGGCTGGTCTTGTCATTGGTCTGTCTTTGGATATCCTCTAGACAGGTAGGTGAGTCGATGAAACATGAAACTCTTGCTAATGACAGCTAACTTACATTAACTCTTGCTAAAAACCAGGAAGATAATGGAATAGAATAAGTTTAGTCTTTCTATTTTAAGTTCTCTTTTTTCACTTCTCTGGGTATTTCCATTCTCCATCATTCCTTGTATTCAGCTTGGTTTACTTATCAATATTTCTAATAGGGGAAGCTGGGGGTTTTCAGAGAAACAGTTTTGTAGGAAAAACAGGTTTCACTTAACACTGTGTAAGATATCAACAGAGAACTTGTCATTTAAGGTGCTACTGACATCTACATCAAGCCTGACCTGTAGTCTTCTTATCCCAAACTAAAATGCAATTGCATTCATCTGCCGTTCAGCTCTTCAGCAGATTGTCCTTAAGGTTCATTCAAACATCCCACTTGTTCCCTTAAAACGAAAAACTTTTTTTCTGAAGTCTTATAATTTTATAAAGATATATCTCAAAGGTGGGTAGATAGTCTACTAACTTTTTGAGATGCCCCTTGGATATTAAGTTTGGTAAATTTGTTTCAGATCGATAAAAGGATGTTGAAAGGAAGCTTTAGGAAGTGTAGTGCTTTAGTGAGTATTTGTAATGGCACATTACCTGTCTGTGCAGTTCTGAGCTGTCCTTACTCAGCACTCTTACTCCTTGCATTATGAGTAAGCACGGAAGTTGGGAGTTTCCACAAGAATTACTCATAGCTAGGAGGAATCCTAAGAGCCTCGTCCCCGTCTGACCACGGAAACAAATTAATTAACCTGCATGTGTAATGCATTTTCCCAAAATTACAGAGAGACTCTTGAGTCTCTTTCCTGTAGGAGACAGGAGGAAAAGTTCTGAATATAAACTGAGTCAGTCATTGCCTCAGAAATGTACTGAATTGCAGTTAGGAGCCTGTAACTGGCCATCCTGACACCTTGCTGAAAGTATTATGTTTTCTTTCTGTTGAGTGTTTTTGAAAGAAATGGGGAAAGACTTTTGAGGCTAATTTAGATGGTAATCCTTAGCTATGGTGAGATATTGCTGCTAAGTAGCCAAGCCTGTCAATAAGCATTTGTGCAGCTTCACTTTCCATTTGGTAGGTGAGGATAGGAAAAGGGAACAGAGGAAGTCAGCAGTAAACGGGTCACAAACCCAAACCTTGATCTTTTGACTGTCTTATGCCAAATCTTAAATGTAATACTGTGTTCCACTGAAATCCATACAACTGCCTGGAGGAGCTTTTCCTCTGTGTAGCTCATGTAACTTCACTAGGAGATGCTGGAAGAGTTCAAACTGTGTCTTTTAAAGTTATTACTGAAAATTGTTTAGAGATTCTAACCATTCTCTGTTTGGAGACCAGAAACTAATGTTTCCATTGTATAACATACTGAAAGTTTATTCTAAATTAAGCAAGAGCCACAAAATATTTACTGACAAGAAAAACCAAACTGAACAGTGTTTTCTCTTCTGTAGGCAGAGTTTATTGTACTGGCTTGTCCTAAAATGTAACATGGTGTTGGAAATTAGTTACAAACAATGGAAACAACTCTACCCCACGACTGTTTAAGTCTCCTAAATAAACTGCTTTTAGATTATGCAATAGTACAGATTGATGCTTAAAGTGCTTCTATTTTGGTTTTGTGCTCAAAGTTTGAAAGTAAAACTAGAGAATTCCTCAGATCTACTTTTGGGGAGGGCGAAGAATCTATTTCTTGGGCCTATACTCTGTATCACAGCTCCAGAACCGTACTAAATACCTGTAGTATTTGTTATGTATTTGTCCTGGTTTAGGGCAAATTTGAGAGGAGAACTCGCAATGGGGTCCCTCCAGGAAACACATTCAGGCAGTCCCTCCCCCAGATGGTTCAGGAAAAGATTTCCTCGGAGAGAAGTGGAAAAAAGCTGTTTATTTATCAGGCAAAGCACTCCCCAGCACAAAAATGAACAATACTAAACAGCAAACCCTCTCTCTGCTCTGAAGAGATGACAGATTGAGCAGAGTCCCTTCCATGGGTTGAGCCTGGCTCACTCGGGCTGTTCTCAGTCCCTCCAGTGCTGGGAAATGTCACAGCCCAGGTGTGCCACAGGTGTGAGCTCCCGGTGCTCCTCTGGGTTTTCAGTCCAGAGCAGGTTTGAACAGTTCCAAGAAAAAGGAAAAAAAAAACCAACAAAAAACCAAAAACCCACAGTCCAGGGAGCTTCTCTGCCTCAGCTAGCCAGAAACTAACCAAGAGCAAAGGAGAGCTCTGTGCTGCTGCCCACTGCAGACAGCCCAGGCTGTGTGAAGGATGTGGGGCACCAAGTGCAGTCTCTGGTAACAAACTCTGCTCCTCTGCTCTCCCCTTCACTCCTGGAACCAGGCTTAAAGCTGGAGAACTCAATATCCAGCACAAACAGAACAGGTGATTGGGGGTACAAGCATCATAAAGTCACCCCAGGACGTTGTTACATCTGAGTCTTTCAGAGGTAGCAACATGAGGAGATATTATCAGAGTCCAGAAAAACTAGAGATTTAAACTCTTGTAACTCCTAATGCCCCAATTTAAAAATATTCTGATGTTTAGCTGCACTGCACTGAGCCTTGTAGCTAACATTAAGCATTTTGAAAGAGGTCAGCGTACAAATCCAGTTACTGTGATATCAATTCCGTGCATTAAGGCAGGTTGATAAGAATATGATTAGCACAATTTTTTAAAAGGAACTATTTTCAATTTGTCTTAATTCTCTTATGCCAGATGGGTGTCTTCTGCCTGTCCATCTTCCACTGTAAATGAATGCTATTGCTAGAAAAATATTACTTGCAATAACAGAAATAATCTATCTTGACCAGTTTTTTCCTATTTCTTCTTTGAGAAGCTCTTGCTTTATTTTCTAGGTACCCTTTTACCCTGTCAGTAATGATAGAGCAGATGCAGCCCTTGTTCTGGAGGTTTCTGTGTAGTTTTTGTGGGTAATGTCTGAAGTCAGCAATACAGAGTTTATTCTCCATTTTTCTTTTCAACTCTTCCTCTGGAAAAGGAAATGAAAGCAGCTTGAATAGTTTTGTATGATTTACTTGAGATGTGAAAGTTGTTACTTAAAATACCATATTTTTTATACTCAACTACAATCTGTAATCCTGACAAAATAAGGGAAATAGTTCTACCTCTGAGCAAATACTGCATGACATACACTATTTCCAGTAATACTGGAAACTTTCCTCAGTTTCACTTACACAAGATATGGAAGTTCAATTTGCCTTTTGGTGAGGGAGCTGCTTAAAGTAGTTTTAAATGTTTGATAGTTAAGATTATATCAAACTTTATTATTATTCATTTGACATATGCTGGAAATCAAGATGACTTTATTCAATATTTTCCTCATAACTTTTTAAAATTAAAAAAAGCCCTAGTGCTTCAGTGGAACAAAATGTTAATGAGAGGAGATAATTATGAAAATGATTCTCCTTCCTCAGGATATCCGATCCTTATGCGTGTCATACATATTTGCACATCTCACCTGATGCAGCTCTTCAGTTTATAATGTTTTAGATGTTCATAAGGAGGCACATCTTAGATGAAGGTGGGGTGCTGACACTGCAAGAGAATTGTGAGGTTCTTTTCTCCTTTGATATCTCCTCAGATGAATTTTGAGTGCTGATTTTGAATTTTTTTTTTTTTCTGTCAGAAATAGGTTTCACAACTTCATTTTCAGAGGTGGATTTAGTTTTAGAGCAGTTAAGAAAATGTTAATGCTCTGCTTGGAAAACTGCATCTGAGACAAGGAGATACATCATAGGAGCATAAAAATTATATTTACCAGACCACTTTTTAATTAAACATTTTCAAAATATAAGCAAATACGTTTTTCAATCTAGCTGTTTTTCAGGTATGAGTAAATATTTTAATTTTTTAGTAGTCCCACAGGGTTGTCTGTTGAAGACTGAAAATGTAGCTCTCTGCAGCTCTTTCCCACAAAGCTGTAATTCATTGGGCTGAAGTTGATTTAACTTCTGTTTACTCAGTGCTGTAGACTCTCAAATTATCCATGATGTGGACTAACTTTTTATAAGAAGTGGGTTATGGGTATCTATTTACCTCTTCTCAATTGTGTGAATTGCTTCTCAGTCCTGGTCACAAAACGTGTCTGTGGCTTCAGCAGTAATTACTAATGTGGAAAAAACATCATTTAGACCAGGATTTATGTACTTAGTGCTGTAGCAGAAGCAAATATAGCTGGATAATCCAGCACCCTGTGGCCCAGGGAGTGCTGAGTGCTGTAAACCACGAGGCAGAGAGGAATCTTTTTTGGGCTAATTTGTGCTGGGTTTGCTGTAAACACCACAAGAGCTCCTGGCCAGCACTAACTTTTACTCGTGCATTTGCTGCTTCGTGGAAGTGAAAGGTATTTCGGATACACAAAATGCCAGGGTAATTATAATTAAGCAAGCTGTGATTAAGTGAGCTGCATAGTAAACAGCATGAAAGAGCCTCTTGGCATTGGAGAAGGGAAGGAATCAAGGCAGGAATCAAGCACTCACTCACAGAGGAAAGGTTTGGAGGCACGACTGGGCAGACCATTAAGGGTAGATCCACTCAAACAAATGACACCACGTGGAAAGAGAATTTCCCACTCGGCTGCCTGGGCTCGAGCAATCTTTCCATGCAGGAACGTTTGCATTGGGAAGTGCTGGGAGCATTGTGGTTCCTGTGGGCTTCACTCCATGACCTCCCTGTCCCCTTTCCAGCACTGGAAGGGTTGGGATGAGCACTGTGCCCGTGGTGTGTGCTACTGCCTCGGGAGCTCTGGGGCTTTACAGCTGTTTGGTTTTCCTCCTGACTTTTTCTGTGCCCATCCCTTTTACCTGAATGATCTCA